GAGCAGCCGGCCGCACGGTTTCAAGGCTAGTCAGGACAGGCGCCATGCCAGCCGCTGCGCATGGCGCAGGCGTCGCAGGCGTCTCAGACACGACACTCCCACATATCAGGCAGTTCACAGCCACGCTAGCTGATGGCAAGCCGCATGGCGGCGTTACGGCATACATGATCATGCACCCCGACCCGCTGTATGACCATGTGTACGATTGCACGCTCCACACCGCTGTGAGATATGCGGCTTGGATATGGGACGCGCGTTTTTCCCTTGACAGGCTGCAGAGGGCTTGGACCTTCCTTCGGTCCAAGATGCGCATCAACCCGACGTGGCAGAGTGCTAAGGGACCGCTCTCTTGTACGTGGCTCGCTCTCCTGCGGGTCAACTGGGGCATGTGCAGCGCCCGCGCATTCGTCGCAGACCTCGGCGACGCCATTAGCCTGCTGCACACACCGCCTTACGACGTGAAGCTCTCGATCATCGAGGGCATCCCGCGGTGGCAGCGTCGGCGGCTCCTGTCTCATGTTTGTTTCCGATGACAGCAAGCAGATTTGGCATCGTGCGTTGAGGAATGGGGTCAAAGCGGTCAAGTGCCCCAGACAGTCCGCAGCGCTAGCAGCCGCTTGGGCAAACGCCATTCCGTTCCCCGCTGCGAAGGCAGCGCGGGGATACATGGTTTCACCTCACTGTCGCGTGTGCCTGCATCCCAGCGGGACCTACGGCCATGTGTGGTATCAGTGCCAAGGCCTTGTCCAAGACGATCTGGACCCATGCGGCGATCGGGTCCCCGAGGCGCACCTTTGCCACCGTGCCGCCCTGACGGACTCAGCGATGGACGTCGCTGGGCAGCCGCAGGTGGACAGCACATACATTGCTGTGGGTTTCCCTTCCCTGTCCCAGGCCAGTGCGCTTCAGGCCCCCAACGCCGATCCTGTGGTGTCGCAGTGGTGGTGGTGGTGGTGGTGGTGGTGGTGGTGGTGGTGGGGTGGGGTGGGGGTGGGGGGGGCGTGCATGGCGCTTGGGGGCCTGAAAGCTTTGTGGACGGAAGTTGCTTGCAGTCCAGCATTCCCGAGGTCGCCAGAGCTGGGTGGGGGGCCGTTCAGATCTCCTCTGGCTCGCTGTCTTGCCGTGGTGTCTACGGAGCCCTCCCAGGGCCTAGGCAAACCATCGGGGAAGCCGAGGGATGGGCAGTGCGGCAGAGCCTGCTTCATAATTCGAATGCGGAGCTCATCGCGTTAGATCTTCAAGCCACGGTGAGACAGGGGAACTCTTGGAGTTCAGAGGCCGCCAGGGGCTGTTCTAAGCATGCTGCGATTCGGGCTGATATATACCGGATTTGTGAGACTGTCCCGGGTTTTTTTGTGGCAACCAGCGCATCTCTCGCTCGACGATGTGCTTGAAAACGGATCCAGCCTGCATTTGTGGGCTGGCAGCCCGTGGGCTGATGTCTGTGCTCGGCTCGGAGCGGCGCCCCATTCCTATTCGGAAGGATTCTCGAAGGCCTTGGCGGGTGAATTCAAATGCCACAAATCCACGCTGAAGTTTTTAGCTTGGGCCTCCCTGGGGTTGCTTAAAGTGGTGAGTGGACGGGTTATCTGCCTGAGAATCTTCGGCTGGCCGATGCTTGTTTTGCTGTTCCCAAGGTGCAGATCACCCGTCACTGTCCCTGGAGGTCTGAGGCTCGAGGTGAGTGGATGTGCAAGCACTGTGGGCGTTTTGCTCGCACCCCCGCCTCCCTCAAGGCCCTCCTCACTAGCAGGCGCACCCGCGAGTGTGACCCCGCTGCTTTCCAGAGGGCGGCCGCTGCGGAGTGGTTCCTAGTTCACGGAGCCTCGTTTGCCGTGGTGCGCAGTGAGGCTGTGGGTGTGGCTTGTGAGACCGCAGCGAAGCTGGCACCCGAGTCCGAGGCTCTGGGGTCTTTGGAGGCTGGCCCCTCCCAGCCCATAGGAGACGCGCTGGGGCCCAGGAAGGATCTCGGCCACGGCCCTTTTCAGGTGGGGCCCCTGTTCGTTTGTCGGCGGTGCTCTGCCCATGGGGTCCCTGCTGATTCCAGAAATCTGTTGAGGCCAGCTCAGTGGCCTCCGCCCGTGCGAACCAGCGCATGGGCATCAGGGGGGCGGAGCGAGGGCTCCACCCGACCACTGGCGTTTCGCTCCTCGGCCCGAGTGGCGCGTCTGATGGCCGCGCTTCGGCGGCGGCTGGTGCGGCTGGCCGCGGGGCGGGGTGCGAAGGTAATGATGCCCCTCCCGCCCCTGCCCGTTTTGGGGGCGGGCGCGTAGGTGCTCGCGTTTCCTCCCCTTCCGTGGTGTCACCCCGCGTGATCCCCATCCAGAGGGGGCGACGATTGTTCCGATCAAGTTTTGTTTGGCCCCGCCCCCCGTCGCGTCGTCGCCCGCGCCCGCCGCCCGCGCGCGCCCTCTTCCATTTCGGCGAGACGGAGTGCGGCGCGCAGGCGCCTCGATCTTCGGGGTTGGGCGGGGCCCTTCCTTACCCTCTCCCCCTGGCACGCTCGTGCCCCGCGTGCAAGCTTCAGAGTGCAAGCCTGAGCAGGTCATCCATACTACGTGACGCATATGAGCCACCGTGTGTACAGGCCCTTAGGTGCGTGGTCCCAGGTGGTGTACCCTACGAGGCTCTGGAGCTTTCTGGGGCTAGTTCTAGAGGCGCGGGTTCCGTGATGGAACCTCTGTGCATGCGAGTGCGTGCGTGACAATCTGCTTGCAGGTTTTATGCCACCGTTTGCCATTTCTGTCAAGCGAGCGCCACCTCGCCTGTGCTCGCGGGCACATGTTTGATGGGGGCTCTGCGAGCAGAGCCCGGTCGGACGGCCGACCGTGAGAGGGAAAAACAAGCTCGAGACGCTGTACAACTACTTGCACGGTAGCAGGAGCTCGTGGTTGACGACGCGAAGATCCACGGAGTACCGCGATGAAGGGAGAGCATCGCGGCGATAAGGTGCCAGGCTGGGATGGAGATCCAAAGACCTGGCGGACGTATCGACGGAAGGCCCTCCAGTACCAGGAGGGCACGAAGAGGCAAGACAGGTACCTGTGTGGCCCAAGGCTCGAGGCGAAGCTCACGGGCAGAGCTGAGGTTGCTGGCGCGCGCACTCGGCCACCCGACTCCGAGCCCCCCCTCGACGTCGAGCTGGACCCCCGGACAATGGAGATGGGTCGAAGTGGAGAATGAAGAGAACGACGAGGGGCCGAGCTGGACGTGGGAGTGCGCCGACGGCCGAGGAGAAGAGGAGACAGGCTCGCGCATCTGGAGTGCCACCATTGACGATGACGCCGAGGAGGAGCTGGACGATATGCCAGAGGTCTTCCCGAGCATCGTGCGCGGCTGGCTGATGCTCGCGCGTGCGGGCTTGGATTCCACGGGGAGGTCGGCCATTGTGACCGCCACTGGTGGCCCATTGGAGGCCATCGCGATCTGCGACAAGCTGATCTCGACCTGGGAGGATGACGATTTGGCCGAGCGAGACGGACACGCCAGATACACGAAGGCCTACACGGCGCAGATGGGAGATGACGACCGCACCTGGCTCGACGAGGCGGACGGGGAGCAGGGTGCGGGCAGCTTCGCAGCCGAACAGGAGCACGAGGAGTTCGAAGAGGAACCCGACATGGCCGAAGCCAATGATGTGGATATCGAGTCGTACATGGCCGCCCAGCAGGAGGAGGCCGAGGCATTGGCTGCCATCCACGCGGCCCAGCGTGCCCTTCGCCAGGCGCGCGAAGCGCAGGCTGACAGCAGGCTGAGCCGCGGCTTCTACCGCGGGGGCCGGCCAGGGAGTCAAGCGAAAGGTGGTGGCCGAGGAGCCGGCGGAGGATTCCCAGCGGGATCTCGTCGGCCGATGGGCAACCAGTATGGAGGCCGGGGGATGATTCAACCCCCGAATAAGGGACAGAAGAAATGCCCGAAGTGTGGAGGTGGTCATTGGCTCCAGGATTGCCTGGACCGCCACGATCCTCGCCTCGGCGCCAAGATGAACAACACGCCCGAGGCGAGCGCAAAGATGGCCACCTGCCCGAATGAGCTGAAGTTCAACCTAGTGGCCGCCATGGTCGCCGGGCAGAAGTCTGGGGACTCACCGAGCGAGGCGATGTTCGCCGAGCAGGCCATCTTGGAGGGCAAGGGAATCTTCGATTTAGGCTGCGCGGAAACCATGGGTGGTGAGCGTGCGCTCGACATCGTGGCCCGCAAGAACCTGGGGAAGTATGGCGACGCGAGGCTCCGTGACGTGAACCTCAGCTACCAGCCAGTGTACAGCTTCGGGAACGGGGAGAATGAGCGCGCCTACGGACCGGTGAAGTTCGGGATCACGGGCGCGGGCAACGAGGGGGACATCGCGATCAACGGGTTCGCGAAGGATGTCCCGATCCTCGTGTCGAAGAAGGTGGTCAAGAAGCTAGGGGCGGTCATTGACTCTGACACGGGCGTCGCGGTGTTCGTGGAGCTAGCCCCGAATGCCCCCGTGCAGCTGGAGGAGTCGCCCGATGGCGGACACTGCTACATGAGCCTGGTCGACGACATCTTAGAGCACCGAGTGCAGGACCCCGTCAAGCTGCAGAACTTCAGGAAGATCAGCCAGCACGTCTCTGAGTGGGGCAGGCCGGATCCGGCCGCCTTCATGGGGCAGGTGCCGTTCGGAGCCGACCCGTCCGAGGAAGATGGATAATGCTCACACCTGCTTCCCTCCCTCCACGTCGCCAGCATTCCCATAGGGTCGAGCGAGGGATTCCGAGCAGTCCGAGACCCCGGGAGGCCACGAGCAGATGCGGAGAGGGACCAGCAGGGCATCCATAGCCGTTCTGGCTCGAGCCCGGCGAGATCTCCAGCAGATGAATTATTGATCGACGCGGTGCAGCCTGCACCCCCAGAACCTACATATACTCGACCGCTGCCAGCGGATGGCAGCCAGATGTTCGGCGGCAGCTTCGTCAGAGGAGCGCTCCAGCTGGCCTGCGTCAGCGCCGCCTGCGGGTGCAAGCCCGAGATGGGGAATGTCAGCTTCCCGCAGGGAGGTGCACCATCTCCACAAGGCGGAGGCGGTGGAGGTGATCAAAGAGCTGGGTTTGTCCTTCAGCCCGGCCTGGTCGATGGACGAGCTGAGGCACACCATCAAGGAGGCCCTTTTCCCGAGGGACGAGAGCGCCTCTCAGAAGATCCTGAAGGGGATCAGCGCCATGAAGAAGCAGGAGCTGGCCCAGAAGGCAGAGGAGGTCGGGGCCCACCTCACGCCGAACATGACGAAAACAGCGATGAAGCTGGAGATCCGCAAGGCCGTGTTGATGAAGACGAAGCCCGCGCCGACGGACTTCATGGATTTCGGCAAGCACGGGGTCAGCTCATGGAACGGGCGCAAGCTCGGGACTGACCAAGGCAACCAGAAGGGCCGGGAGACCCGGGACAAGGCCGAGCCCGAGCACCTCTGGATCAGCACTTGGTGTGGTCCCCTATCCACGCTGACACTCGGTTTCAACGCCACCAACCCAGCCAGGGCAGAGATGACCAGACAACGACGGGTCCAAGCGATCAAAGAGTATAAGGGCGCGGTGCAATTGGTGTACGACCAGGTGGCCCAGGGAAGGCGCGCCCATTGGGAGTGGCCCATCAAGTGCGAAGGATGGGGCCATGCCATGATCCGTCAGATGATCGAGGACTGCTCGATGACCGTGGTGAATGTGGCCGGGTGCCAGCTTGGGGTCAAGAATGAGAAGGGGGAGCCCCTCTTGAAGGAATTGCTCATCGCTGCGACCTCACCGAAGATGGCGTCTCGGATGGCCACAGAGTGCCTGGAGGTCACCGGCGTGGCCAGGTCATGGGCGGGGGCCTCGCGGCCTCGACAAGCTACTACACGGACGAGTTCGCCCGGAGGGCCGTGCGGGCCATGATCGAGGACGCCGCGCCGGACTACCACGAGTTCTTGAGGAGTATGTCTACGGAGAATGAGACCAACGGACGCGCCCTCGCGGGGCACCAGGAGTCGAACTCACCCGCCGAGGACCCTGGCTCCAAGGAGTACCAGAAGATCACGCAGTGGATCGCGTCTGTGCACCGAGGGTTCGGTCACAGCTCCAAGGCGTCCATGCTGAATGCGCTGAAAAGGAAGGGAGTGCGCTCCATGGTGCTGAGGGTGGCCCAGGACTTCCACTGCGAGGCGTGCGAGGAAGCGAACAACCATCGCCTGACGCACCCGCCCGTCAGTCTCGAGGCCATACCCCCGAAGTGGAAGCAGATCCAGGCGGACCAGTCGAGTGGGAACACCCCCGGACAAAGCTCAAGGCCAAGTTCTCGCTGATCGTTGACGAGAACTGCAAGGTCCGGGTCACTAAGCTGTTATACCACATAGTGGGCCAGGACCGCCACAGGAATCCCGTCTGGGCAGACCTCGAGAACTTCTACGAGGGAAGGTGGCTACCTTACTTCGGGAAGCCACAGCGCGTGAAGGTGGACCCCGAGGGCTCCTGGATGTCCCAGCAGGCCGCTCAGCATTTTGATTCAGACTCCATCGGGTACGAGCCGATCCCCGGCCAGGCTCACTGGCACATTTCTCTCGCGGAAGAGGCGATTCAGGCAACAAAAGGGACGATGGACAAGCTCGTGGCGGAGAACCCTGACATGTCCACCGAAGAGGCCCTGGCCCGTGCCACCGTAGCCGGGAACTCACGGGAAGACGTACGAGGCCACTCCCCCCTGCAGCACGCGCTGGGAAGGGCCCCTGACCTGGACGGCCATTTCTTCGAGAGCGACTTCGACGAGCTGCCCTGCGTCGAGGCGCAACGGGTCGACAAGGAGTACGGCGAGAACTACATGAGGATGTACGCGGCCGAGCAGGAGTACCCGAGGCAGGTGTACCTACGTCGCCTGGGTCGTGCAGAGAATGCCAAGAACCAAGCGCTCAAGGCCGTGGCGCCTGGCATGTGGGTGCGCTATTTCTGCGAGGAGAAAGGCGAGGTCAAAGGCCGATTCAAGGGGCTCGCGCGGGTGCTCGCGGCGGAGACGAGCCGGCCCGTGGACGGTGACCTTGGAGCAAACGCGACATTGCACCCAGGTCGTGCCGGACCTGTGGTCTGGTTGGCCCGGGCCGAGCGCATCATCAAGGTAGACTTGTGCCAGATCCGAGCTGCATCCGCGCGGGAGATCGCCTGCGCTGGGCTCATGGCGGGCAAGGACACGCCCTGGACCGTGAACACATTCATGAATCAGGCGATGCGGCAGGAGTACCTGGACTTTTCGGGGCACGACCCCACAGAGCAGGACGAGGAGCTCGCATCCTGGGAGGGGGTGCCGGAGCCATCACCTCCAGCGAAGAAGGCCCGCCACGAGGAGCCGCCCAGCGAGACCAAGTCCGAGCGCAACCAGATCCCTGTGCGCAAGGCGATTCGGAAGAAGGCGCCTCCGCCAGGAGGAGTGGCCAGTATCGCGAAGGCAACCCAGGCTGTGCAGGCAGAGGATGTCATGATGGAAATGGCTGCCCTCGTGGCCAAGGCATCCCTGGATGCACGATCCTTCTGGGCACGGCAGGGTGCATCCCTGGAGATCTCGGTCGAGCTGCCCCTGGCAGGAAAGCCCTTGAAGCTGGCCGCGAGACACATGAGCACCTACATGGCAGGCCAACTGAAAAGAGGGAAGCGAGAGATCTCAGAGCGGACCCTCGCCCCGGGGGAGGTGAAGAAGTTCAGTGTCGCCAAGGCCACCGAGGTGAACAATCGCGTCATGTTGTCCGCGCTGGAATCCTCGCCGCCTGGGGTCACACCGCCACCAGAGGATGTAATGCGCATGCGGTGGATCCTGGAGTGGAAGATGGATGAGACTACGAGTGAGAAGACGCCCAAGGCCCGGATCGTGGTCTTGGGTTACATGGATCTTGAGTACGAGCACCAGCCGACGATCGCCCCAACCATGACCAGGACCTCCGGGCACCTAGTGCTGAAGGCAATGGCGTGGCTCGGGTTCAAGGGTTACAAGGCCGACGTGACAGGAGCGTTTACCCAGAACCGGGAGATCAAGCATGACCTGTTCGTGATGCCCGTGAAGGAGCTGGCCGTCGCCCTGGGGGTGCCCGAAGGGGTTGCGATGCGACTGCGGAAGGCAGTCTATGGGCTCGTGGAGGCAGCCATCGAGTGGTTCATGACGGTGAGCGAGGCCCTGGAGGAGTTCGGCTGGACGCAGATGAAGATGGACCCACGCGTTTGGGTACTCCACGGCCAATCCCACGGCCAGGACACCAGATTCACGAAGGAGGCCCTGGGCCAATTCACCAGGTCCGAGGTAATGGGCGAGCTGATCGCGGCGAAGGGTGACCTGGACATTGTGGCTATCGCAGGGCCCCACGTGGATGACTTCCTGCTCGGAGGGAAGGGGACGGACCCCAGGTGGATCGAAGCCAGGAAGAAGATCGAAGAGCGATTCAAGTGGAAGACATGGGAGACCGACGAGTTCATGCAGACTGGAGCCCCGATACGGCAGCTGCCAGATATGAGCTTCAAGATGGACCAGAGTGAGTATGTCGAGTCCATCGAGGGGGCAGTCGTGAGCCCGGAGCGAAAGAAGAACAAGGACGCCCCGACCACCGACAATGAGGAGGGGCAGCTGAGGGCAATCCTGGGTGCCATCGGCTGGCGCTCCGAGCAGTCAGGCCCCATGCACTCGGCGGACACAAGCCTTTTGCTAAGCGCGATGCCGTCCTCCACCGTGCAGACCCTCCTGGGCGCGAACCGCCTGGTGGACAGGGTGCAGGAGGGAGTAGACCTCCCTGTGGTCATCCACAGCCATTCTAACGCGCAGGTGATCGTTCCCATCGAGTGGTCAGATTCCTCGAAAGCGAACCGCCCCGACGGGAAATCCACCAAGGGGCTTGTCACGGGGATGGCCCCACTACGCATCCTGCGGGGGGATGAATCAGACGTGGGCATGATATCATGAAGTCAGGAAAGATTGACCGAGGGTGCCGGAGCTCAGTATCATGTGGGACCCGATCAGCTGTGGGCGGTGAGGACGAACTGTTCGGGGTCAAGCTCCAATGGTTGGAGATCCTCGGCAATCAGATCGACTGGCGCAACCCGGAGGGGGCACTCAGTCAGTTGCCCGCCGCCCTCGTGCTGGACTCCAAGGGCCCCTGCGACGAGCTGCAGACCACGGTGTGCACGTTCCGCGGCAAGGAGAAGAGGGCGGACGTTGAGGCCATGACCCTGAAGGAGGGATCGACGGCATCCAACAATTGGGTACCGAGGGTACACGGAGACGCTCAGCTGGCGAACTCATTGACGAAACGGCACGAGCCTGGCCAGCTGAGGATGTACTACAACAGTGGCCACAGGTGGAAGTTAGTCTATAACGCCAAGTACCAGAGCGCTAAGAAGCGGAAAGCCGCGGGGATCCTTCCGTTCGAGAGCGTCCCCCCTGGAGTGCTGCGCCGCGAAGATGCGGGAGACGGGGCCACGTGCGCTGCAGCAGGCGCTGGAACCAGTCCCGTGGGTTTCCCTGAATACGAGGCGATTTCTGATTACAGCAGTGAGGGGGAGTTGATGGACTGAACCATGCTCAGCTTGGAGAACCCTTATCCGTGCAAGCTTCAGAGTGCAAGCCGGAGCAGGTCATCCATATTACTTGACGCATATGAGCCACCGTGTGTACAGGCCCTTAGGCGCGGGGTCCCAAGTGGTGTGCCCTACGAGGCTCTGGAGCTTTTTGGGGCTAGTTCTAGAGGCACGGGTTCCGTGATGGAACCGTTGTACATGCAAGTGCGTACGTGACAATCTGTTTGCAGGTTTTATGTCACCGTTTGGCATTTCTGTGAAGCGAGCGCCACCTCGCTTGTGCTCGCGGGCGCATGTTTGATGGAGGCTCTGTGAGCAGAGCCCGGTCGGACGGCCGACCGTGAGAGGGAAAAACAAGTTCGGGGAGCTGTGCGTATGCCGACAACGACATGCACCGCGGGAGCTCATCGAACTCGGACCGCCCAGTCGAGCTTCAGCTCTTCTGGGAGGCGCACCGGTTGCACCACCATTCGGAGCAGGAGGAGGAGGAGGCGGAGAAATTTGTGCGGAAGGTTCGCGTCGTGTCGGCCGACGGCGACCCTACCGCTGGCGTTCAACCTTGAACGCCGCTGGCGACTGAGAATCGGTCAAGCTTGAACAGTCTAACGTTTGGGAAACGGCCGATCGTTCAAGGTGGACCGATCCCCGTGGTGGTGTCGGAAGCCAGCGCTGGGGCCGACACGACAGGAACCCGCGGTGCGCAAGTGTGGATGATGGTGACTGTGAGCATGAAAAGCTCGTTCACTTGGGGAAGGAAGCTGGAGCCTGAAGCCCAACCCTGCGAGCCCACGATCTTGGTGTACCTTCTGGCCACCCGTCCTACTCGCCTGAAGCCTTCAGAACTCTTCAAAGGTGGCCCCGGAAAGCCGTGAGATGACCCGAAGAGCGGCAAAAGACGCAACAAGCGACTCCGAAGAGCGCCCCCAGGGGCCAAGGGGTTCCAAGAGCCGAGGACATCCCAAGAGGGCCCTCGTGCGCCCCCAATGTGGCCTCAGAAGGCCCGTCTCGCTGGCATTGAGCACCCCAACTCATAACAACATATCAGCACATCTGTGGTTCATTAGGTGTCTGGCTCAGGAAGGGTCTAGCTCAGGAATAGTCTTGGGGTCAGCGCTGGGAGGGCCCCCGGGCTCCCGCGAGACTCCAGGAGGGCTTTCAGGGGCACCGCTAGATTTCAGTCGGGCACGTCGTTTTACAGGAAGAGTATTCGAAAGTGTAGAAAAATAGTCAGGGGACGTTGTTTTGACTATATTTGTGCATTTTCGAGTATTGGTGGACTATTTTTATTTTTCGTCCAACATCCGCCTGTAGGAGGACATGCCCGACCTAACACTAGATGTTCAAAATGGGGCTCACGTCATGGTCCACGAGTGCCGCAAGAGGCTCCCGAGGTGCCGCAAGAGCGCCCTGGGCGGGCCCAAACGGATTCAGATGTATCGAGTTGTTATTTGAGGGTTTGGCTGTCCGATTCAACTCTCTGCCAGCAGACTTCCCGCTGATGTTAGGACCAGTGAGGTGGACCGTCCCTCGAGACGTGTTGCACAGAATTTCAGACCAATCGCTTGATCGAGTTCTCCTGCAAGCGCCAATTTTCACGCTGACCGCTTTGTCGGCCCGCAATCTTCGAACCAACGGCTTGTTCGATTGCTCTTGCCAGCGCTAGCGTCCACACGAAGGGATTTAACAATCTACGCTGCCAGTGAGTCGGGCCCTTCGGTGGTACTGCACGTGTCGCAGTAAGTTTTCTGAGCGCCAGGCTTTGACCGTCTCGATCGCCGTGACGTCCTTGCCGTCTTCAAGGCCCAGTGGTTGGCAGTAGACAAAGCAAGTCCTCCTCCTTGAGCGCACGTGAAGCGTGCGATGGTTCTAGTCTGTATATACATGTACACACATATTTATCTATAACTGTATCAATACGTGTACTGTGCACAGCATAGGTTGCACCACATAGCTTGCGCGACGTGGATTGCACACCATGTGCCTGCACCACACAGATTGCGTCACCTGTATTGCACAGCATACATTGCACCAAGTAGTTGGCACGATATAGGCTGCTTCACATTGAATGCACAACACAGGTCGCGCCACAGATATTGTACTACATGTGCTGCACCACGTATATTCCACCACATCGATTACCCACCATATATTTAAGTGTATATATATATATATACACGTACTGCGCACCGTATATTCGAGTATATTCGATTGCACCAAGTAGATCGCACCACATATAGTGCACACCATACATGGCCACCATAACTTGCATAACGTCTACTGCACCACATGTATTGAATCACGTAGATTGCCCCACATGGATTGCACAGCCTATATAGCACCTCGTAGATCGCACTACTGTCAGTGCACAATATAGGCTGCACAATATACGGTGTACAGCATACATTGTACCCCGTATGCTGCCCACCAGGTATTGCTGGAACTAAACTGCTTGGGGTCCACGCTGGCTAACAAGTTTTACTGATGTCATAGCAGGGGTCCGCCGAGTGTTTTCTTCGTTGGCACCCCGTTGACGCCTCGTGGGCGCTCGTGGGCGCCCCGTGCGCTGTGTGGGTCCGCCGAGGTTTCGCCGCGTTGGCGGGCGCTCGGGGTGGATCCGCCAAGGCTCGTCTCGTTGGCACCCCGCGCCCGCGCGTGGGCGCCTCGAGGGCGCCCGTGGTGGGCCCCGTGCACTTGGTGGGTCCGCCGAGGTTTCGCCTGGTGCCCGCGCGTGGGCGTCTCGAGGGCGCCCGTGGTGGGCTCCCCGTGCCGTGGGTGGGTAGCACAGCTTGCGCAGCATAGCTCACACCACATGGGCTGACACAGCATGGCTAATACCACATGGCTTACACCGCATGCCTTTCACCTCCACAGTGCAACAGCTCATTATTCGGGGTCCACGCTGGCTGACATCTCTTATAGGTTAGCCACCGTCGGCCCCAAGCAGTGAATGATTGCATTGTAAAGGTGGGAGCAATGTGGTGTAAGCTATGCCGTGTAAGTTATGTGCTGTGGTTGATGGAGACGGAGGGAGGATGTGGTGGCTGTAAGATATGGCATACTTGAGTGGTTTTAGCTGCTGATGAACGTTGTGTGGTCTAAGCAACATGGTGCATTTGATAATCACCACGAATGAATTGTCAACTCAACTGTTCGCAGTAACATCCCACCGTCCAACCCGCACCTTGCTTTGCAAAACATATGCGGCCGCGATTGCGGATGCTGCTTGGCACTGGCTGGCGCATCTTTGCGGTCGCGCTGGCTCCCGCAAGCTCGCGCGCATAGCGCCCAGCTGGTTTGGCACAACTGACGTGGCCGCGACGGAGTTTGCCGATGGGAACTTCCCGTCGCGTCTCCAAGGCCGCGGTGGCGCGCGGGCACTTCAGTGCGGGTCGGTGGCTCGGGTGGGCGCTACATCATGATGACGTCGGCAACGGCGGCAACTGATCATAGCAGCGATTGTGGTGGCGATGATGACGATGAAGACGGCAAGGCCAATGACGGCTCCGATTCTGGTGACGACGGCGAGGATGATGATTTCCATGTGGTGTGTCGGAGATGAATGTGGTTGGCTGATGGCGGCGGCAATGGCGGCGATTTGCGATGGTTGCGTTGGGGAGGGTGGTAGCTGGGAAGTGCGCGCACGCATCAATTCAAGAACGCTGACGGGGTGTCGTTGAAAAGTGTTTGGGTTTTCGTATGACGTCGGCACGGTATTGAATGGTCTCCGGCCCATTCCGCCACCGTGCCCGGGTCTTGGATATGAGGCCTTTTGAAGGATTGTTAGGATTTTGTCGAGGCCTTTCGGGTGCCTCCTGGAGGCAGTTCGTTTTGAGTCCTCTGGGGGTTTGTTCTGGGCCCTTGTTGGATCCTCTTTTGGGCCTCTTGGGGGCCTCATGGGGCCTTTTGGGGCCTCTCGGGGGCTTCTCGGGGCCTCGTGGGACCCTCTTGGACCTCTCATGAAGGGCCGTTTTGGGTTCCTCTTGGGCCGTCTTTGGCGCCTCTTGGGCCGTGTCGGGGCCTTCTTGGGCTGTCTTGGGGGCCTCTTCGGGGCCTCTTGGGCCGTGTCGTGGCGATCCTGGAGAGTTCTCGAGCAATTTTGGAGCGTCGCGAAGCCGAAAAGTCGAGCAGGTAAAAAAAAACCAGGAACACCAATCATGTTGGCGCCTTGGGGCTTGGGAGGGCTCTTCGGGTTCTCTTCGGCCGCCTCGGGGGCCTCGTGGACCAGGGCTGGACCTAAACGCTGTTTTGCTGGACTTCGGCTGTGTCTTGTTTTTTTTGTTTTGGCAGGGAGTTGGAGGACAACAGTTAGAGCAAAACGAACAACAAAACGAACACATAACGACACACAACGTTTAGGTCCAGCCGTGTCGTGGACCGTCTTGAAGCCATCTTGGGCGTTTGGGTGCGATCGTTCGGCGACTTTGCGGCCCTCGGGGCCCTCTGGGGGCCCCCCCTTGGCTGCGAAGAGGTCACGCGGGGAACCGCGCCACGGCCCCTGGGGGCACGCGGCACGCGCAGGGGAGATTTGGCAATCTGGGGCCTGGGCCCCTCGAGAACCCTCATGGGGCGAGGCTTGAGGAAGCGTGCTGCAAATACTTTCCAGATGTCTGTTACACGTTTCAAGCATGTCTTACACGTGCAAAGACATGTTTAAAACAAGTTGTAGAACAGGTTTTAAGCATTTAAACACATCTTCAAATCAATGATAGGACTGTTAGAGTGTCCATTGTCATGGCATCCACAAGCTTAGAGGGTTAGGCAACGGATCTTGGGACACGCCCACACCGTGCCGCAGAGCACGGTGGCGGATATCTCCAATCTCCACACGCTTCGCATTGGTTTTGGATGGATTTCGGCACGCGCGCGCCACGGCTCGCGCGTGTGTTGCCTGTTTTGTGTTCCCCAGCCAGCCCTTGCATTTAAGGCTCTTACGCGTCTTCACGGATCTGGGCCTGCGGGCCGCTCTTGCTGCCATGTGGCCGCCGTCGCCGCCTCGT